TACTTCTATTAACCAAGATATATTATCCTTCCTGCTGTGAATCAATTGCCCATTTAATTTATGGAATACCATGATTCAAAATAACCTATAATATACCAACCAAAACATTTATTGCAGCTTATTTTTATTCTCAATTATAACTGCTTGGTTCATGTACCAAGATTTGTTTCTGACTTTGCTAATTTTCTTTTCTGAATAGGTGTCTAATGATGTTATGGGTTTATAGTCTGCATGAGAGCCTACAATAGGAATAACAACAACAAAAGGTAATAGTAATTATTATCCCAAGTGAAAAGATATGTAATAGATGAAAATATTATTGGAAGAATACTTACTTATATACTAAATTATTTCTTAGTCTTTATCATACATCTGAATGAGGGAGCAGTAAAAAATATTTTAACATAAAACTACTAAACCCTTATTTTCAGTAACTTCAAACAAGGTACATCTACTTGCTATCTAGTTGTATTTTTCACAGGAGAAAAATACAAGTTTTATTCAATTATTTCACTTTAGATTTTGGGCTTCAAACTACACACATACTCAAAAACCATAGCTTTTCATGTTTTTCACTGCTATGCTAAAATTCCTAGTAGCTACATTCAAATAAGCCACGGTTCATCATAAAAGGATGAACTTAGTCTCTGTACTCTAGGACCTAAGGACATACATTCAGAGTTTCAGATTTTCTATTTTTTAAATTAATGATGGCTTGTTATATTTTCCAAATCTGACAAACTGTTTCTAGTCTTGAGTATTTGAATGAATGAAACCCAACTTTTAATGTCAGGCCTGTCAAATTGGTGACCTGAAGACCGGATGCATCAGGTACAGGCCACGCCCACCCTAGCTCCCCAAAGGCAAAAAAGTCATGATGCGTCAGGTGACACGACCGAGTCTCATACCCATGATCTATGTATATAACTTGCTAGATTTGTATCCTATGGCAAGACCAGAAGATGATACAGATGTTTAAAAATGGTAAAAGTTTTGAGTTTTGACAGGTCGACCTATGATATTTAAATCAAAGGTTCAGGTTTTTTGGTCATTTTTGCATTAGTAGAGAGGAAAAACATGAGTTCGGAGCTGAGTTACAGTTTATTTTCATCAGAATTATTGTAAGATGTGACTTAGAGCTAATATTACATATGGCTTTTACCACCACCTTATAGTAATTTAATTCAGAAGTAAATGCATGCATTAGCTTAATATAAATTTCAATATACCAAATAGTTTAGAGTATACAGCATTATTATCCATTTTTAAAAAAATATACAAAGAATAAAAGTTCATCTACAAATTAAATCCATTATGGTAGTTGTATTGACCATAGATGCAAAATAGATATGTAACTGGGAAATTGTATCAGTTATTTGTTAAGTTGATTTAAAAAATACTGTATGGATAAAAATGAAGTTACAAATTTATTTTCTGAATATTTACCTTTTCAATAACTTCCCCACCTTTTTAGAATAAGACCATTTAGGCTAAGTTTCTCTATATAGCTAGTCTTTGACTAACAACCACAATTGAGCCTAACACTTATGTTGCTAGGAGAGATATTTGTTAAGTGAGTTTTGCCCCATTTTACAACTGTTCTTGCCACATTTAAGTGAATCACTGCAGTTAAGTTAGTATCACGGTTGTTAAATGAATCCGGCTTCCCCATTGATTTTGCTTGTCAGAAGTTTGCAAAAGGTGCATATGATTCTGGAATACTGCAACTATCATAAATATGAATCAGTTGCCAAGCATCTGAATTCTGATCACATGACCATGGAGATCTGCAATGGCCGTAAGTGTAAAAAATGGTCATAAGTCACTTTTTTCAGTGTCACTGTAATTATAGTGACCTGTAACAGGTCACTAAATGAACTGTTGTAAGTTGAGGACTACCTGTGTTTATTGCAGAGCTACCATCTAACACCTGTCTAAATAATGCAAGGATACTTCTTCTAATTGAAGATCTAGAAACAATGGAAGGTGCAATGGTGAAACAAGAAAAAAATAGAATGACAAAAATGGAATATAAGAATGAAGTGCAAAAATGAATACTTTCTAAAAAATAAATAGAGTGTAGTCTTTGTTAAACATACACGTAACTTTTCCTGGACTGAACTAGTTCACATTCTACAATATAGACACAATCATCTTGAGATTGTAATTGCATGTTACTAGTTGCTTATGTAAAGAGTCCCTCAGATTCTCAGTTCTTTTTTTTGGTCATAAATTGAATGCGTTAATCATTAACTGCTATCAATTTTACTAGCTATGTTAACTAACTAAGATAGCTTGAATGAATGTTGTCTGGATGGTGAAAGGTCTGATATTTTCAACATTTTTTAAAGCTTGTCTTCTTTCCCGAAAGGATTCTAATTCATGCCAGTAATAAAAAACTATGAAAAAATACTGAAATTCAATTATTATTTTTGTTAATTTCTGAAATAAATTATAATTCAATTAAAATTGTGGACAGTTGGTTACAATCCTAGGTTAAATTGTCTATGAAAAAGCTCTATTGAGCAAGACAATATATTTTTCTGAGCAAACTTGACAAAAAGATTTGATGTATTTGTGACAAATCTTATTTTCTACAATTCAGGTTATAATCAAGTCTGGGTATACATGTATATGGAGGATTATAGTGCCTATGTCCAGGAAGATATGGCTATGTAGAATATATTAGTAGCAGTTACTTACTTTATTCAAGACTGAGATCATGGAGAATGTAATTTTGTTACATACTCCATGATCTCTTTGTGCAAGTTCAGGAACAAGTTTATCTCTCTCACTATCTTCCCTTGTCTATATGTTACCCAGCTCTCTGAAGCAACAGTCTTTAAATTTTAACACACATTTTTTTTTTCACATTTCATTCATCCTAAATTTTAAACCTTGAAAAATAAAAATGTCTGTTTAAACAGCTATGTAAGATATTTATATTGGAACCTTAGGTATGCTCCACAAATAAACTATTTTTCCTGCCAGTAAATCTCAACCATTTTTTAAAAAAATTCTTACAAATCTATTCACATTTATGCTATTACAATGATTCAAAAGACATAGAAAAAAGTCATGGAAGATTATTTCAATATATGATTACTGTGGTAAGCTTGTTATATGCACACAGATGGAAAGATTAGACACTACCCACCATGGAGGAATAGAGTTCAGAACTTGCTGAATGGCCAAACTGACTTCCTTGATTAGAGAAATGTCATTATTGATATTCATCAATGACTGGAAGCTGCTTATGGGCTTTTTGAAGAAAAAAATAGTTTTGTAAGCCTGGCATCTTCTGGGGTATTTGAGGGGCTGCATCAAAGCATTGGGTCTTATATCTTTCAATGATCTATCTCTATTTGCTCAGTTACAAACAATAATCCTCTTGATGATTTTATCTAACAGCCTACCCTCAAAGCTCTCAATTGTCAAAGATTCCCCCCCTCCCCCCAACTTTATATGGGTAACATTCCAATTGAAAATGCCCTGGATCAAATTTGGAGATTTACTTTTTTATTTATAGAATCAGACTGGTTACTAACGAATAGCCCAAATCTCTCAAAGTGCTTCAAAGCGGCTTCAAGCCGTGAAGTTTCCTACATGGGCAGTTTCTTCCACCTGAAAAGAGACCACCGTTTTAGGACTGCAGAAACACAAATGTAAACACTGACAGAAAAAGAGGTAAACGTATGATGATGATGATGATGAATTATTATTCTAACCAACAAAAAATGAGGCCCCAAAGTTATTTCCTTTCAAAAGAGGATTTTCTGTCAGGGCCACGGAACTCCTCGTTCCACAGCTTCGGTCCAGGGAAGAGCTGGGCTGCTTTGAAAAGGCAGCTTCCCCCGCCGAGGGTCTTTGCCACGCCAAGGGTCCCCCCTGAGTTGTTGACAAAGGACGAAGGGTGACTAAAGGGGGGGGGGGGGGGGGGGGGGGCGGGGGCGCCCCCCCCCAGCCCGGCCCGCCCCCCCCTTTTCCCCCCCCCCCCCAGCAGCCATATGGCCGGAGAGAGCCACCCAGGGCCACGGAGTCTGTCAAAAGGAGAGCGAGGTACCCCAGGGACGACGGTAGAAAAAAAAGAAGGAAAAAAAAAAGGGGGGGGGGGCAGGGAAAGGAAGACGCTGTTTGGAAAGGGTGGGGGGGGGCTGCTCCAAACGGACGGT